TCACTGTTGTCGACCAACTACCAACGCCTCTACCTCCACCATCATTGTCACTGGAACAACTTCACTACGCCTCTTAAGGATGGTGATTTGCCTCGACCCGGTTGGGAATCCGGCTCACCCGACCCGAACGGGGACGGGGATTCCAAGCTAAAATTGTTCCTAGGGTCGGGGATCCCCGATAGACTCAAACTAAAGGATATTTTTATGGGGTTTGACCGGGGATCGGTCTGGGGACCAGGGATGGGGGATATTACTAAAAACCGGGGTCGGGGATTACCAATCCCCCCATCCCTGTTCTGTTGCCATGCCGAACGCCTCATGCCCACCATCTTTACATCATTCATAGTCAACGTCGTATACTACCTCCATCGGCTACCACTACCACTACCCATCATCACCTTTACCTTTACGACATCAACCACAACTACCTCTTCTTCCACTACCAACAACCACTATCACCGTTGTCCACCATTATCACATCCTCCATATTCACATTCATTAACCAATCACCATCGCCTCTACTCCTACCACCATTATGTTGAACAACCTCCATCTTGCCCCTCCCAGCTTATAAGGATCTTCCAGACAAAATAAAACATAGTTTTTCCTGTATGGATCAGTTTTTTGGAACTACCATTAACTATATCAAATTCTTCATCCAGATTCGGTATCATTATATATTTATGTATATAAAAACTTGTGTAAAAATGTTTTTAAATTAAATTATCTAAATGTTTACTTGATTTGTGACATTTATAACTATTATATGATATACGAAATTATCAAATAATTTTTAGGGGCAACTTGTCTAGTCTTGTCCTATCCAGTTCTGTCATGTCCTAGATGCATACCAAATGCTACCTTAGTAAATATGTGTATGCATCAATGAGTATTAACTTGCATATATAGTAGATATATATTGATAAATATACTCATTGACGGAATACATATTTTAATGGTGAAGGTTCAAACGAGAACACCTCCATTTTACGAGAATGCAAGAACACCCTTATCACGTGTGATAATATACGTGAGAGACCTGGTGGTGTGCGACTTAGGTCACACCAAAATTTGTTTGCATCCATGATTCAGTATCTTGTGATGAATTATAATATCACATCAAAAACACCATTATCACATGTGATAATATACGTGGGGAGCTTAGTGGTGTAAGGGTGACTTGGCCCGCAACCAGGATCACGCCAAAAGTTGTATGCTTCTCTGACTTAGTGTCATATTTGTATCTGATGGAATATAGTATCACATGTGATTGTCTATAAAAAAGGGTGTTCTCATAAACTGAAGGTGTTCTCGTTTGAACCCTTCCCTATTTTGATAGTTTATATACATCAATGAATATATGGTTCTCAAATTTTTTATAATTCTCACATGAACCAAAGCCTATACACACATACATACACATGTGTGTATATATGTATATGTATATATACATGTATATGTATATGTATGTGTATGTGTATATGCATATGCATATGTATATGCATATGTATATGTATATGCATATGCATATGTATATGTATATACATATGCATATGTATATGCATATGCATATGTATATGTATATGTATATCTACATGTTAGGTTGGGTTCCAGTAAGAAGAGAAGTTATGGTGAAAAGCGTAAGAAGAGATATTCACCCTTGGATCAGTCTTAATTGAATATTAAACACTAATTAGGTGCACCGAGATGCATATGATCAATTCCCTTCTAAAGTGCAATTCATAGGTGGACATGAGATTAAAAGTGATCAAGGGTTTAGATATATTCTTATGCTTCTCACCATAACTTCCTTTCTCACACGATCATTCGCTTGTATATGTATATGTTGGTTCCATGAGGGTCTACAAGATATGTATAACAGTTTGTAGAGGGGGGGGGGGATGAATACAAATACAATATTTTCAAATTTAAAATGTATATTGATAAGAGAAGATCAATACAAATTTTACAAGACTATTTGCGGAAAGATAGGGTAAGAAAACCTATCTAAAAAATCTTTGGTTACACACAGAATCTTAGCAAATGAGAAAAAAAATGTTGTAAAGAAAAGTTCTTTTACTTAAGCTTAGAATGCTTAAAGTAAGAATTATGTTAAGAGAGTGTTGCGTGCACTCTGCATGGAGAAGAAACACTTATATTTATACTTAGTACATTAAATATTCATTTAATGCAATATGGTAGGGTTAGAGTGCGTGTCAAGCCTTAAGAGGAAGGCTTGTCTTTTGCTACAGTGAATAGTAAAAAAAGACTATTCATGAGCATACATCCTTACCTAAAGTTGGTGGGCAATAAAGTCGACTAGTCGGCTCTGTATCGTACTAACATTTAGAAAGAGTATGGGTTTGTCCTTTGTGTGCATAAGGACAAGACAACAACAATCGTGCTTAGCAAGCTTCCTTTGATCACTGAATGCTGGAATAACCTGGAGGTATCTTCAGTATTCGCTGAGGCTTGAGTAGTCTTCACACATATGTAGACAGACTTGTAATCATTGAGTACCGCTTCAGATCACGTACTCGCCAGTCTCTAATCTTCAGTTTCAGTCTTCGACTTTGGCTGAAGGTTCTTTGGTGTGAGTGTTGTCTTCTTGAAATATCGCTGTTTCTAATTGAATTACAATACAAGTTCTTCAGCGATCACTGAACAGGCTCAGTGATGATCGCTGGAACTGAAAAGACAGAAACATAAAATGCTTCGTATAAGTGAAAAATGGATTATCATCAAATCACTGTGAGAGAGGATCAACAGTATATGTATATACATGGTGTGTGTGGGGAAGAGAGAAGATCAATCGATGTTACCTATTAGATGATTGAGTTCTACTCAAGGGAAGTTGAGGGAGGTGTTCGACAAAGAAAATATAATGAATGGAAGATGATGATCAATAAACAAATAAATTAGCCAGGAAACATAGTATGTGGTCGATAAAAAAGAACCATGTAGTGGTTGAGGCTCAGGGGGGATGCAGTGGAACATCCCATTTGCATACGGTTCGATTTTAGGCTTACACAATAATTGTGCCGCTGAGTTTATTAGTATTGATTTCTCACAATTATAATTTGTTGGGATTAATCGAGACATAGCTTGGAACACCCTTAAAAAAAGGAACTAGGTAATTTGTTGCATCGGTTAGCCCCAAAAAGTATTACCATGCAAATAAGATTTTGTTGCATGTTTTTGTTGGATTAGCAAGACTTAAGGACCGTTTACCAAACTCTTATCCAATAAATGCTTATCGATTTTAAATTCAAAACTATTACTTACTAGCCAGGTAAGATTTTAGCCAACAAAAATGACATAGTATGCAACAATTTACCCAGTAAGCGCTAACTGTTGTAAGAGTCGTCACCCTCACTTACCTGTTAAGATTCTCGGTTTTAACTCGCTCTTACCGGATAAGATTTTTTGTCATTTCCATATTCATACAGTAAGATAATATGACTTGATGACCACATATTGGGTAAACATTCGATAAACAACCCATAAACTTCTTCGTAAATGTCCTACCCTAACAATAATCATTAAAACCTACTAATTAAATAACGGTTGAAAAAAATTACCTTGGAGAAATCGTAGATTAGGCGGATAAACCAATAGAAGGAAGATCTCGAACAAATGACTTTACCAACGTAAGTAGCATCATTTTTTTAATGTATATCAACTTATATTTTATGTAGTTTTGATGTGGAATTTATAAATCTATACTATATTATAAAGTATTTGACAAAAAAAATTAAAAACCATTTTTTATGTATGAAATACTTTTTATTGATGTATATTATTTAAAATTTAAGATTACAAGTAATTTTGCATAAATACAACTTATTAAAGCTCCATTTTTAAATTTATGTAACTAACTGCTGATAAACATGATCAAATACAAGATAAACATTTATTTTAAATATAGAAAATCCAAAATATAATTAAGATTATCATTTTTCTATAACAAAATGTTTAATTATTATCTTTATAAAAAAATTATATTATTAAACCAAAAATAAATTACTT